GAATCAAATGTCGACGCTCTTAGGTTTCTCTCAGACGAAGTTTCAACACTCCGGCGTCTCCATCTCTTCGCCGCCGTGTTCATCTTCTTCCACGGTGGTCTCAGTGGTGTGCTCGAACCGGACTGAATCGAAGACTCTCCGGTCAGGTTTCCTCGGCCGTATCGATTACGATGATCGGAAACTAGTAGGATCCGGTGGTTCCTTCAAATTGGGTCGGAGAAGCTCCTTAGCAGTTAAAATGTCTTGGGACGGTCCTCTTGCTTCCGTCAAGTTAATCATCCAAGGAAAAAACCTCGAGGTTTGGATTTTTTTCTATACGCTTGAAATCGAATCTCTTGAAGAAAAATGTTAAATTTATGTGGAATTTGTTCTGGGTTTCGATTATTGAGAGTTGGTTATTAGAAAAGTTTGGAACTTTTGGGACATGTTTGTTGAAATTTATGATTTTTTTCAATAGAATTTTATCGCTGTGTTTGATACTTTGGTTTTTGGTAGTTGAAGTTTGATTGTGGTTAACTATGATATGGCATTGTTGTGACAGTTATCAGAGCCGATCAAGCAGCATGTTGAGGAGAAAGTAGGGAAATCTGTTCAGAAACACAGTCATCTTGTAAGAGAAGTTGATGTAAGACTCTCTGTTCGAGGGGGAGAGTTTGGTAAAGGACCTAGGATCCGTAGATGCGAGGTAAAACATGTCATTCTTATCGGATTTCTTGAGTCTTCCAAATCGCGCTCGGTATTTGATAAATGATGCAACTTTGTATGTATGTTTGTCCAAATCCATAAACTGTTATTTCAGGAGGTAACATATAGTTGCTATGGTACTTTAGGTGACTCTGTTTACGAAAAAGCATGGTGTTGTGCGCGCTGAGGAAGATGCTGAGACGGTATATGCTTGTATAGACTTGGTATCATCAATAATACAGCGGAAGCTGAGGAAGATCAAGGAGAAGGACTCTGACCACGGGAGGCACATGAAAGGTTTCAACAGATCAAAGGTAAGAGATCCAGTAATTGAGCCGGTTGTGGAGGATATTGAGGACGTCACTGACTCGAGTCCGGGAGAAGAAGGCGAAGAAGATTTGATCAAGGAGGTTTGTCCAGGCTTATCTTATCGTTGGTGCTTACTGATTTTCAACAACGACTCTTTCACGATGTTTTTCTTACGGTTTTTTTCACAGATTGTCCGTACCAAATACTTTGAGATGCCACCATTGACCGTGGCTGAGGCAGTTGAGCAGCTGGAATTAGTCGCTCATGATTTCTATGGCTTCCAAAATGAAGAAACAGGTATTTCTTCCATGTATGCTCGATTGCTTAAACCACAATTGTGCGGAAGATCATAGGAAAGACTTGCATTTTGATATTGTTTTTGGTGGCAGGTGAGATTAACATAGTGTACAAGAGAAGAGAAGGAGGGTACGGTCTGATAATCCCTAAGAAGGACGGGAAAGCTGAGAAGGTTGAGCCACTTCCAACCGAGCAATTGAATGAACACTCTTTTGCCGAGTAGAATGCAGAGATTGTTGAGCGTTCAGGAAACAGTGTACATAAAAAAGAAAAAGGCTAAACTCTTTGTAGATTGATTCTGTTAAATAAATTGAAGCTGAAGTACAATCTTGATTCTCTTT